CTCTCTCTCTCTCTTTCTCCCCCACACACACTCTCTCTAAAAATCAATGGAGAAAATATCCTCAGGTGAGGATTAACAAAAAAATAAATAAAGTGTCAATTGCGTTTCTAACAATTACTTGTCAGCTAGCAGGTTTGCCCACTTACTGGACTTCCCAGAGAACAAGCTGAGGGTAGGGCTCAGCCTGTTGGTTCCAGGATCATAAGAATGCAAATAGAAGACATGAAAGAAATTGGGATCTTGGATTCTATAATAGTGTTTTTATAATACATAGTCTTTACTCTTTAGCTTTTTACAGTGTGTGTATCATTTAGTGGAGTTATTTTCAGCAAAGAATTGATGTATATGATGTATATTTTGCAAACTAGTCTGGTATTGTTACTGGCAGAAATAGTTTCTTATAGTGTCGTGGGAAAGGAATTTCAGGGACATTCTCGAAGGAGGATTTGAGTGATAGTGGCAAGATTTATTAGAGCAAAAACAAAGGAAGGCTTAGGATAGAAGAGCCCAGACCACAGCAACAGGAATAAGCCTAGACTGGGCTGCCCTCACACAGGAAAGGAAGTTACAGAGGCAAAAAGAGAGTCCTTAAAGTCCTCTGCTTCCCTGGTTGCAAGTCTCATGGGGACCCTTAGAGTTTAGGAGAAAAGAAAGCAAAAGTACCGTCCAAGAGAAAGAAGGGTGCACAGGGCACAGAGGCCCCTGAAAAGGCTGTTGCACTTGACGGGAGGCTTCACTGGTGAGTCCAGCAAAAGAAACTGGTTGACATTGCTCATGTGCCCCCAGGTACATCATGCCCGATGCCTCACCCATGACCAGGTGGTTCAGCTCCGTCTTGCTGGGAAAGTTCAGCTTCTGGGGCTGCAGGCCTGCACTTGTGCCCACTGGCCCAGGAGGGTCAGGACCCAGAGTTGCAGTGATGTCACCTCCAGCATCTTAGGCTCCAGTAGTCCAGCTTAGTGTCTGCTCCCGGCTGGCATTAAAATTCTTAGCTGTGTGACCTTGGGCAAGTTATTTAACTTCTCTTTGTCTCGTTTCACTCCCTGTATATCTGTCACCGAGGCTCCATGGCTCCCAGGCTGCACCGCTGCCCTGCCCACCCGACGGGCCTTTGTTAAAGCTTTTACTCCAATTCCTTGTGTTTCAGGAGGTGCAGGTTTTCTTTCAAACTATCCATCTCTTTCCTGGCTTTTCCTGGAGCTGTGCTAGTACCCTCCTACCATCCAATTCCTTTTTTGGATTTTTCTGGGGTTTAGTGCCCTTATCCTACCCAGTCCTTTCCCAGGGTCATCTCCTCCCCCTTTATGGTCTCCATTTTGGCTCCTACTGTGCAAGCTTCATAGTTCTGCTTTATCGTTTGGCTTCTATTGCACATGCACTAATAGGACTTCCCCTGTGCCATTTCCCCTTCTCCCCAGTCAGATGGACTCCCTGGGGACTGTGAAGCTGCCTCTTCCTAAATAATGAGGCTGGTTTCTTTGCTCCCTTCCTTTTGTTAATAACTAACTGTTAAAAATCCGCAGCACAGACCAGCTCATCTTTTAGCCAGACAAGGTTCTGAGCTAATCTAGAGTAGACCATAAGCTCGGTGCAGACAATGCTTGTGGCATCTTATTGATTACTTGTTGTCACCCATGGAAGCCCCAGACTGGTATAAAACCAACATCTAAACACAGACTGTAAAAATAGATGTATCACCAATTTCTCTAATCTAGGTTTAAATCTTGACCTGTCACTCAACACATAGTGTAAGGGTGTCTTCCGCATGTGCCGAATGCTATGTGTAGCTTACAGTACAATAAAAATTCTGAAATCCAGTTGCTGTTCTAAACTAGCTTTTGGTTTTGTTGAGAAGACTAGGCAGATATGACATAACTAGAGAATAGTGCAGTGTAGGATGTTGTCTAATTGTGCTAAAGGAACCAGGGATAGGAGAGATCCTATTAATGAGGGAATCAGAGAAGCTCCTAGACAAGTGTGAGATGAGCTAGGCTAAGCCTCCCTCTTGGATTGATCAGATTGGAAAAGAACAGAGGTTATCTACATTTGTCCGGACTGGACTATCAGGTGTTACTGAGTCCTGGCATACCATGGTGGTATTGGGGGTGGGGCGGGTACAGTATTCAAGCAACAAGGGGTACTGAAAGGTTAACGTGGTAGTGTACGGGTAGGTTAAATAGCCATCTCATTCAGTGATTAATGAAAATTGAATTTATTTAAGGAAAAGGAGGTGAGGTGGGGATATACAAAGGGAAGGGCTACACAGAGAAAAGGGGCCTTCGAGACAGGTTCAGGCGGTAAGCCCAGGACAAGCTGCCGCTGCCCATTGCTTCCCTGGCTGCAAGGCTCATGGGGTCCTTGCTGGCCCCCACACCTCTCTTCCCCTGGCATTTCCTGTCGCCTTTTTTTTTCCTTGTAGCACATTCTTCCCCCACCCCCCATTTATCTTTATTGTTGAAAGCATTACTGATGTCTCCCTTTTTTCCCCCATTAACATCCTCCTTCCCACTTTCTCCCCCTCCCCTAGTTTTCACCCTACTATTGTCTGTGTCCATGGGTTATGCATGTATGCATAAAAGTTCTTTTGTTAATCTCTTCCCTCCTCCCACTTCCCTCTGAGAATCCTCAGTCTGTTCCATGCTCCCATGTTTCTGGATCTGTTTGGTTTGTGAGATTATTTTTGTTCATTAGATTCCACATATAAGTGAGATCATGTGATACTTGTCTTTCTCTGATTGGCTTATTTCACTTAGCGTAATACTCTCCAGGTCCCTCCATGCTATTGCAAAGGGTAAGAGATCCTTCTTTTTTATAGCTGCATAGTATTCCTTTGTGTAAATGTACCACAGCTTTTTTATCCACTCATCTACTGATGAGCACTTGGGCTGTTTCCAGATCTTAGCTATTGCAAATAATGCTACTATGAACATAGGGGTGCATATATTCTTTCTGATTGGTGTTACAGGCTTATTAGGATATATTCCTAGGAGTGGGATCACTGCGTCAGATAGCAGTTCCACTTTTAATTTTTTGAGGAAACTCCACACTGTTTTGCATAGTGGCTGCACCAGTCTGCGTTCCCACCAGCAGTGTACTAGGGTTCCTTTTGTCCACATCCTCATCAACACTTGTCATTCATTGATTTGTTGGTGGTAGCCATTCTGACAGGTGAGTGATTCCTCATTGTTGTTTTTGTTTTTGTTTTTGCCTGTGCTGGTCCTTAGCTGGAAATGTTATTTCCCCTTCTATCTAAATCCTGCCTGCCCAATTATCCTCCTCCTTGTCCAGCCCCCGCCCCCCACCACCCTCCACCCCTCCCGACCCCCCATGAAGGCAGGGAGCTCTGTCTCTCCTAGGAGTGGGATCACTGGGTCAGATGGCAGTTCCACTTTTAATTTTTTGAGGAAACTCCACACTGTTTTGCATAGTGGCTGCACCAGTCTGTGTTCCCACCAGCAGTGTACTAGGGTTCCTTTTATCCACATCCTCATCAACACTTGTCATTCGTTGATTTGTTGATGGTAGCCATTCTGACAGGTGAGTGATTCCTCATTGTTGTTTTTGTTTTTGTTTTTGCCTGTGCAATTCCTTATTGTCTTTCTCATTGATTAAGTGCTCTCCCTTACTGCTCTGAAATTGGCTCACCTTAAGAACAGGCTGTTATTCTGTGAATTGAGTGGTGACAGGATAAAACCTTTCAGAAAGAATTAGGCCCTAGATTCTGGAGCACTGACAGGGTGGCCCAGAGTCTGGAACAGGCCTGAACCCATGGGGCCAACTTGTATTTCCTGGCCAGGGTAAAAGGGCTTCAGAGTGAGGGTGGGCTTGAGCCTGCACTTATTACTCACCCTCCAATAGATGGATAGAGTGAGTCTCTTTCATCCTTGTCATGTCAGTTAGATGATCATATTGTTTTATATGTTGTTTCATTTTCTTTTAGGGGTATCACAACTACGTGTGTGATCAGCTCAATAAAAATATAAAATACTGTCTTTGTCTTTAATATCTTCTCCCATAGCTTTTTAAAATCATTTTCCCCAAAAATACACTTTTTTTTAAAAAAAAAAGCAAGTTATAACCAAGCTGTTTGGAGGCTACTATAATACCATGACAAACCTAATCTAAAACTGTTAAAACTCTAAACTGATGAACAAAAACAGATCCAGAGACAGAGAAGCATCGATCAGACCGTCAAACCTCAGAGGGAAGGTAGGGGAGGGTGGGGGAAAGGGGAGAGATCCACCAAAGGACTTGTATGCATGCATATAGCCTAACCAATGGACACAGACACCAGGGGGGGTGAAGGCATGAGCTGGGGGGAGAGGGGCAATGGGGGGATAAGGACACATATGTACTACCTTAATCAATAAAGAGAGAGAAAAAATAGCTGGGGAAAACAACAACTGTTAGACTCTACAAGTCCCTCAGGAGACTGGAAATAGATAATGAAGGCTAAATCCCTCTTTCCATGCCTTCCTGTTCTTACTAAGAATAAAGAAAATTTTATTTCCATGGGATCTAAATGGAGAAATAATAGTCATCTTTCTGCATTCAGAAATGGAGGCCATAACCTATACTTCAGCCAGCAGTTTTCAATTTCTTAGCAGTGACAATTTAAGTAAATTTCATTTGAGTTGTGGAGATCTAACTTTGTTATGATTGACAATATAAAATTAGCCTTTTCTGCTGTTGAGATTATCTAGCATTCCTATCAGTCAGGTGGATTGTGAAATGACATTCCACAGCTGTGGATTTGAAGTCTTCAAAGGGTTAAAAGTTACTTCCTCTGATGGATTTAAAACTGCCACGTACACACAAACAAGTTTTTCAAACTGCCCTGTTTTACATCTTTGTCGAGAGACCGTCTAGTTGCTGCATTTTTATGTCTAGGTTATATTACAGATATATTTCAATAAACCACGAAGAACCACCACAGATTCTAGAAGCTGGCCGTCTGTGCTTAAATAAACATCTCATGCAGCACCTGTCTTACTTTATAGGCTCGATAATCACAGTGACATTCCAAAAGGAGACCTTGAAGACTTGGAAGCAGCTGTCCTTCCCCAGCTTCTGAGACTCTCCCCGGGGGGTGGCAGCGATGGAAAGCAAGTCAGGTATTACTGTCATGAAACTACGTCTGGGATGGGGTGGGGTGGCCATTCAGGTTCCCAAGGCTTCCAAGAAAACAGTCGCAGAGTTGCAAAACACTAGTCCACACTGTCAGCACAGGGTACACACTTGTAGTCTTCGATTTAACTCTTATGAACTTCCCCATCTGCTTCTTTGTAAATGTATTTGTTTCTAACTGCTAACTGGATATACCCATTCAATCCCTGCTTATCGCAACATTTTAAGGGCTTAGTTGGGAGAGAACAGGGATAGCCTTTGTTGGGTATGTTATGTTAGCATACCTTAAAGAGCAATCCAACATATAACCCACTGTAACTACCACCTAAAGCAGTGGTTCTCAGTCTTCTGGCCCTTTAAAACAGTTCCTCATGTTGTGACCCCCCAACCATAAAATTCTTTTCGTTGCTATTTCATAACTGTAATTTTGCTACTGTTAAGAATCGTAATGTAAATATCTGATATGCAGGATGGTCTTAGGCAACCCCTGTGAAAGGGTCATTCAACCGCCAAAGGCAGGAGTCCTCAAACTACAGCCCACGGGCACATGCAAATACAAATATTGTATTTGTTCCCGTTTTGTTTTTTTATTTCAAAATAAGATATGTGCAGTGTGCATAGGAATTTGTTCATAGTATTTTTTAAAACTATAGTCCGGCCCTCCAACGGTCTGAGGGACAGTGAACTGGCTCCCTGTTTAAAAAGTTTGAGGACCGCTGGCCAAAGGGGTCACAACCCACAGGTTGAGAACCGCTGACCTAACATGATGTCCTTGGCATGTCCAAACCCCTGATGAGTTCCTAAATTTCCAAGGTCATGCTAGTGATACAGGCTCCCAGTCTAGAAGATACAGATCTACAATCTGCAAGTAGAGTTCCTACACCAGATCAATAAAACCCGGGAACAGAAACATAGCTTCTCAGGCCCTACCCAGGATCCTCTGAATAAGGAATCTGGGGTGGTGCCCAGACATCTGGGTTTCAGTGAGCCCTACGGGAACTCTAATCCCTCAAGTTTGAGATCTACCGCTCATAGTATGTGTCTTAAATGGCCATAAAGCTGGGATGAGAGAGAGAAGTTTGTCAACAGGGTAGTTGGCAGAGTCATGATTCTTGTGCATCCTAAGACAATCAGAATTCTGTTCCATACCCTCTGCCCACCTTTTATGCTATCTGGGTTTCCTTCCATGTCCTCAGAAGCTTTGTGGCGTCTGGGCTACTTATTGAGTTCATATAAATGTGTAATATGTGTAATGGCACCTGGTAGGTGCCTAATTCATGTTGCATGAATGTTACCTGTGTCCTAGCCCTGATTTTGATTCTGAGGACTGACTATATTTCCCCTTATTAAAATACATTCTCACCGTTTACTAGTAAAGAACAAATTGTTATCGAGCATGGTCAATAGATGTCTGTGAAAGCCCATCCGAAAGGCTGAGAGAGTACACGGGGCTTTGGGTGTAGTTGTCTTACATCCAATGCCATTTTCTCTTCCTTTAATGTGCCAGTAGGCTGTTTCATGTTAATGATATAAATAGGAAGGGTAACATGATTTTCTTTAGACTATAATTCAGCATAAGTGCAGTGTGTGCTGGATCCCATCAAGGAGTAAGGAGAAGTCAGATAATGGACTCTGAAAGGACCTTGTCATGAAAAACCTTGGCCAATCATATGGTTCTGTTTCACAGACCACAGGGTGAGGTCTGTAAGTCCTGAATGTGTTTACAGGACCTTCTGCATCTGTACTAGCATTCTCCACATATGAAAGTCTTGGAAATGGCCTTCCTGACCAGTACTTTTCAATCTAAAGCAGTAAAGGGACATGTAAGAAAAATTCTCTTTCATGGTTTTTATCATGTGGATAAAAGTACTCCTTTACAAAGGTGGTACAAGAAGCTGCTGGAAAGAGTATCTGCACTCTGGTTGTATGTTGTAAGGCTCGCTCACCAGGCCGCTGTTTCTTTCTCGCTGTTTTTTTCATGTCTGTTGATATACTACTTTGCATAAACCATAATCATGATATGTGGCATAGAAAGCATATATGCATTTATAATTCCCTGTACAAACTGACTTGTTAGACTAAATGATTCATTGTGTGACTCTCTTAACCTGGGCTACCAAACTGTGATTGTGGGTGATAAGATATGATATTTACATCTACTAGACTAACATTTGCTGTAGTTTCTCAACATATATAATAGAGCATTGCTTTCCATTATGAAAGGTTGCATTTTATATGACTGTTGATCTACAGTTAAGTATAAATCAGCCTTCCGTAAGAAATGATCCTTGTTTATGACCAACACAAATTTCAAAATTAATATCTGGAGTCTTCAAGACAGGTTCTGTACCACAATCACTTTTAAAGTCAGATAAAGAAGTCAGGAATGGTTACTATTGTCAGTGTTTTGTTCTGTTACAAATAGAATTGTCCTGTGTGTGACTGAGGATGCTGATTCACGCACATGGATTATCACTGGTTTACTCACTAGCCTTGGATAAAGTGCCAAGTGTTTATGTGACCTTTGAGATGAGCAATTGTGTCTTTAAATATAGATTCTTTCTAACAAGTGTTCATCATGGCATCAGGCTCTCCCGTAGACTTCTTCATCTAGGCACCCTCTGGGCTCCTCCACCCCCAACAGCTATTGCTGGGCCATTCCCCTAAGTGAAATATTCCCATCTGCTTTGCAATCTCCCCTGGACTGAAGCAGCTCACTGGTCAATTTTATAAGCCATTCCACAAACACAGATTTGGAAAGAGTAACCTACTTTTGTTCCTTAATTGTTAATGACTCTTTAGTTATGGAATTCTAAGCTGGGTGGAATGGGAAGGCTCTGACAGGTCATGAATTCATAAAAGCCTGTAGCCATGCTTGATGTGACAGCAGCCCTGGCCAAACCATGGCAGTTGATAGCTGTCTCTTTCCTTTATAAAATGGGACATCTGCCCCACAGCATCTGCTAAAAGAGAGTATGAAGAATGAATTCCTGCTCACAAAACGAAGCAACTTAAAACAAAAAATTTTTATCATTGTTGTTGGTTTTTCTTATATCAAGGACTAAGTATTCAAAGATCTTCATATAAAAGGTTTACTCTTATTAGGTAGAAGACCAAGTTATTATTTTAGACAATGATAAATTATTAAAATATTATTCATGTCATTTGGGGTAATTGATAAAAGAATTTATTTGTTGCCTTCTGGAAAAAAAATTTAACATTAAAATAATTACTTAATAAGTAGTTTTATATCAAAACCCTAATGAGACTACCCTTTTTTTTTTCCAGATGCAACTAATTGTTTCTGTTAGTGGCTACTTTCAGATACAATTGCCCAATTGTGCTCCCAAACTCATGATGAAAAATTGAGTCATCTTTATATTTTTTGGAGTATAGCATATACGGCCTATGTTCAGAAAAAATTCGGGGGTATTTATTACTTTGTATGCACTTAAAACTTCCGTCAGATTACCAATCTTTTGTAAACCAGTTGGAAATTCTGGTACACTTTGTTTAAATTGCAGTTTTCTGATCAGAACCCATTCCGAGCATATGAAGTTAATTGTAGATTATTTAAAGGCTAGTCTTTTATTTAGAGGAATATATAACTTAGGTGACATCAAACTTTGTTTTTCTCTGAGGCATTGGTGTTTATAAACTTTCCAATGTAAAGTACACAAAAGCGAAAAAAATTCCTTTAAGTCACTTTGTAGATTTTCTGGTTTGGTGTGTGTATGTAGAACCATGGGCAAGACTGCATGCAAGGACAGCCATGGCTCTTACACTCCTTGCCCAGTCTGTCCTGAAATAAATCTGCAAGAACGCCTGGTTTTGTGCTTTAAGCGTTGGTGTCACTGTTCAGAAGTCACAAATTCTAGATGCTGTACCTCCTTCGATAGCTTATTTGCTATTTGCCTCCATGCAAGTCATTAATGGGTTTTATCTTTTTGTGAAATCTGGGTAATAATCATAGGAAACCTTAACTGTTTTTTCATGCCAGGACCCAAATAATGGTTACAGTTGGCAGGGTTATTAGTAACCAGAGCCTTGCCTTGGCTTTGCCTCTGCAAAAACCATGTGCACAGTCACCAGACAGGCTGGTCTCTGATAAGTAATCCATCCCTACTTATTTAACTGATTTAATTCATTTTAATTCAACTTGTTTTCAAGTTTAATTCAACCTACCTAAACATGCTTTCTGGACAGAAACACAGTTGATTTATTCATTATGAGAAATATACCAGCTGAATGGACTAAAATTTGCTGGTGGCCTGTGAGTGCATTTTTCCAGTAGGAAAATCTGTTGTGAAAAAAATAAAGACGCAAATATAAATTTATTTACATGGAATCAGAACAAAGGAATTGGGTACATTATGACATCGGTGACGTCTGGTCAGAACCAAGAGAGGCAAGTTGCTGAAGGGGCTGCTACCAAACCAGCCAGAAACCTTAGAATCATTCTGGGAAGTTTTAAATAAGTTCACGGATCCCAATGATACATGACACTTCATTCAAGTCTTGGGAAAAACGAAGGGTTAGTAAGTCAGGCAAAGGTTGTCACAATTAAGAACCTTCTTTAATAAGTTGTTTGCCCATTAGGTATGATGTTGGCTGTAGGTTTGCCATATATGGCCTTTACATGTTGAGATATACTCCCTCTAGTCCCACTTTGCTGAGAGTTTTTATCAGAAATGGGTGTTGGATTTTGTCAAATGCTTTTTCTGCGTCTGTTGATATGATCATGTGATTTTTGTCTTTCAATCTTTTTATGTCATATATCACATTTATTGATTTGCAAATACTGTACTGGCTTTGCATCCCTGGAATAAATCCCACTTGGTCATGGTGTATGATATTTTTAATATACTTGCTAATATTTTGTTGGGGATTTTAGCATCTATGTTCATCAGTGATATTGGCCTGTAATTCTCTTTCTTTGTAGTGTCTTTATCTGGTTTTGGAATTAGGGTAATGCTGGCTTCATAAAAAGAGCTTGGAAGTGTTCCTTCCTCTTGGATTTTTTTGAATGGCTTGAAGAATATAGGTGTTAGTTCTTTGAATGTTTGGAAAAACTCCCCTATGAAGCCATCTGGACCTGGGCTTTTGTTTGCTGGGAATTTTTTTTATTATTGCTTCCATTTCATCAGTTGTTATTGGCTTATTCAGGTTTTCTGATTATTCCTGATTCAGTTTTTGGAGATTATATTTTTCTAGGAATTTGTCCATTTCATCCACATTGTGCCATCTGGACTGGGCTTTTGTTTGCTGGGAATTTTTTTTATTATTGCTTCCATTTCATCAGTTGTTATTGGCTTATTCAGGTTTTCTGATTATTCCTGATTCAGTTTTTGGAGATTATATTTTTCTAGGAATTTGTCCATTTCATCCACATTGTCCAGCTTGTTGGCATATAGCTGTTCATAGTATTTTCCTACAATCTTTTGTATTTCTGTGTTGTCAATGGTTACTCCTCCACTTTAATTTCTGATTTTATTTATTTGGGTCCTATCTGTTTCTTGATGAGTCTGGCTAACGGTTCATCGATTTTCTTTATCCTTTCAAAGTACCAGCTCTTGGTTTCATTGATTTTTTTGTACTTTTTATTACACTTCCTCAGGCATCAGATGCCTGGTCATCCCATTGTTAGTGTTGCTAAGACTAATCCATGGATTCAAGCATTAGCAGACGATGCTCTAATATAAAGTTTCCTATTATGCAATCACAAAATTTATGATGATTTCCTACATGCATTGATTAATTTGGACTTTCAAAATGGTGGTTTTTCTAATTCATTCATTCTTCTGCATTTATTAGTTGGAAGAACTTTTCCCATCAACTACTACTTGGTAACTCTGAAATGTACTTTTTTACCACAAAAAAAACAGGATAAATGTGTGATTCTATCCCTTTACTTACAATTTTCAGAATAACAATTGTTGCCCTAGCAGCATCCAAAGGTTATTTTGTTTATATTTTTTATTGTGGTAAAACACACATAAAATTTAGCAGCTTAACCATTTTTAAGTGTACAATTCAGTAGTGTTAAGTACATTCATATTGTTGTGCAACCAGTCTCTGGAACTTTTTAAAAAAATATTTTTATTGATTTCAGAGAGAGAGAGGGAGAGAGAGATAGAAACATCAATGATGGGAGAGAATCATTGATTGGCTGCCTCCCGCACACCCCCCACTGGGGATCAAGCCCGAAACTCAGTCATGTGCCTCTCTCCAGAATCGAACCCGGGACCCCTCAGTCCGCAGGCCAATGCTCCATCCACTGAGCAAAACCAGCCAGGGCAGGAACTTTTTAATTTTACAAAACTGAAACTATCTATACCATTAAACAACTCTCCATTTCTCCTTCCTCCAGTCCCTGGCAATTTCCATCCTCCTTTCTCTTCCTATGAATTTGACTAGCCTATGTGAGTGGAATCATACAGTATTTCTCTTTTTATAGCCAGCTCATTTCACTTAGCACAATGTCCTCAAGATTTATCCCTATTGTAGCATGTGGCAAGATGTCTTACCTTTTTAAGGCTAACTCATTTTAATTTCATTTTTATTTATTGTTTAAAAGAAGTCATGGCTTTCTATATACTAGTTATGTCAGTCCATTGTCAGCATTACTCTTTTTGGTGCTCAAATTGTGCCATCTTTGGCCAGTGGGATCCCCTCTCTAAGATAGCTCCTGAGGCTTTTGACATGACTCAGTAGCCTTTGATAGCTTCCTTCCTTTCTGGTATGATAAGGTGTTCCAGGCTCTCTTGTACATTTCCTGCCCCAGAACTGGAATAGGGAATTTTTCTAAGGGGCCCTGGTTCCTTTCAGCATCCAAATACCATAGTATACATGCAAGGTTGGCTTACTTTTTAACTCTTTCCTAATGCTACCTTAATATTTTTAATTATAAGTAGGCCATAGTAAGAGTATAACCAAGATAAACTATTGTTGAGAAGAAAATGTGACCTATTTCTTTTAACGACATTTAAGAGGAGCATGGCCATCTATTCAGTGATTTGAAGCCATGACTGCACGTTAGAGCACTCTATCTGCCTTAAAAAATTGTTATGGCCGGGTCACACACCAGACCTATTTTCCTAGACTCTGTAGCGGGTGGCACCAGGTAGTTACGTTTCACAGATTTTCCCAGATGGTCCCACTGCACAGCCAAAGTTGAGATTCCTTGTCTAACAATCAAATGATAACCAGAATAAAATAAAAAATTTTTTTAAATGTACTTGGACTCTAAAAATGTCCTTAGTCCAGAATAAATTAGGTTCTGGGCTTTTCTGGATTACCTTCTACTAACTTGATTATGGGGCCTTTTAAAATGTGGGAATCTCGCCAAAACCGGTTTGGCTCAGTGGATAGAGCATCGGCCTGCGGACTGAAAGGTCCCGGGGTCGATTCCGGTCAAGGGCATGTACCTGGGTTGCGGGCACATCCCCAGTGGGAGATGTGCAGGAGGCAGCTGATCGATGTTTCTCTCTCATCGATGTTTCTAACTCTCTATCTCTCTCCCTTCCTCTCTGTAAAAAATCAATAAAATATATTTAAAAAAAAACTGTGGGAATCTCATAAGTGACCCAAATCTCTAATGTTTCTCCTGTTTCTGTTTTATAGATCTGACCAAGTACCGGCCTCAGGCTTATTAGGGGCACCATTGAGTCAGGGTGTTGCCACCTTGAAAGAACATTATAATTCTGTCAAAGAAGAGATAGCTAAACTGTCTGAAGTTTTCCCAGTCAAAAATGTGGACCAGAGGACAAAGGTTAGTAATTTTTTTTTTAAGTTTCAAGATGTACAAGGTAATGATTTGAGGAAATAGTTACATTCTTAACATATTTGAGAAAATAACTAATAAATGAGGTTTTGTGGTTGGTTTTAACTTTCTGATCTCAGGCCTTTTGCATATTGTTTGTGTAGGAATCTCACCTCCTTACATAAAGTTAATTCGGGTCCTAGATGTAAGATCTAATTAAACACATCTACCACAACATTTTCCAAGGAGCTTAGAAGCATCTTGTAGCATTCTGGTTTTCTTTCTTCACTCTGTACTTTCAAAACACTGTATGGTTGGTCATTCCTGTCAATTCAGCAATTATGTATCAATCCATTTCTGTACACAGGCACCATCCCAGATCCATTGGAGGGAAAGACATCAATAAAACGTGGCCCCATCCTGGGGAATGGCATAGTGGGATGCATGTAATAAGAAAGTGGCAAAAAATGCGGGCCTTCAGAAAAGGGAGCCAACCTATCTGGAGCAGCAATGAGGGCAGACTTTACAATGGAAGAAACGGGCCAAGGAGGAGGCGACCCTTAAAGACTGACAAGATTTTGACAGGCTATGAGTACAGGGTGGGACGAGAGGGTAGGACTGTTATGAGGCAAAGAACAGCCCAGAAAAGCCAACATGTAGGCAGGAGATGGAGCAGAGTCATCCTCTGTGGCCGAAGTGTGGGCGCCAGGCTGGGGATAGTGGGCGAGAAAGTCCAAGGTGTTCCCTGGCCCAGTTGTGCAGGGTCCAGGCCAGGCTAGGGAGCTTATGTTTAGATGTTGGAAAGCCATGGGAGCTTTCTGAGCAGGGCTATACTAAGATTCTGCAGTGCTTTGGGGAATGTCACCTGCTTGGATTAGGACTGAGACCAGGAGGAGGGAACCCTGCAGGGATTCAGACAAGACAAGGAGGGGCCCAACTTAGGAGTTGGTAATGAGAGAGAGAGAGAGAGAGAGAGAGAGGGAGAGAGGAAACTGGTAGAGAAAGGTCCCATGGAAGGAAGCACAAAGGGAACCCAAAGCCCAGATTTAGAGCATTCCCATTGTAGTCTTAGTCATTTCCTAGAAAAACCATAGTCAAAGAGATGGTCTTTTTTCTCCTAAGTTTAATATCATGAATTTGTCTTATTGCAAATAATTATTGCTCATCCATATACATAATGTAGGGTTTTCTGTCTTTGATTCTTTTTAACTTGTTATTTTTATCATGCACATAGTTCAGGGATTCTACATGTGCCCCTCCTGGAGCCTTGCCACCTCTGTCTCAGAGTTGTGCACCTGTGTTGCTGTATGTCCAGAGCCTCTGCCATCTCCCCTCAAGTCTTTCAGAGAACTTTCAGATCTCAAGTCCCTGCCCTTTCCTTGCCTCTTAAATTAAAAGAGAGTAGAAGGGCCCTGGCCAGGTGAGTCTGTTGGTTGGAGCATCCTTCCATGCACCAGATGGTTGCTGGTTCGATTCCCGGTCAGGGCACATACGTAGGTTGCAGGTTCAATATTTGGTGGGGGCACATACAAGAGGCAGTCTATCGATGTTTCTTTCTCACATCGATGTTTCTCTTCTCCTCATTCCCTCCTCCCTCCTCCCCCATCCTCTCTTTCTAAAAATCAATAGAAGGCATGTCCTCGGGTGAGGATTTTAAAAAGAGACAGAGAGTAGGAGAAAGAGTAAAAAGACTTTTTAAAAGTATATCAAACATATATACATAGGATGATACAATGTACTTAGCAACCCAAATTCACATGTGTTACTACCATCATACTATATTGTTTCAGACCTCATCCTCATCTTCCTTCTCTCCCCCATCTTCTTACTTCTTTTCTCTCTCCTCTCATCTTCTCTCTCTCTCTCCCTTTTTCACCCCCTTCTCTTTCTTCCATCTCTCCTATCCTTTCTCCTCCTCTCCCTCCTCGAGCCTCCTTCCTCTCATCTTTTTTTCTTCTGTAATAAATTATTACAACTACAGATAGAGCCCCCATATGCATCTCAAGGATCTGATGCGCCTTTAAAAAAAAACACAAACTTGTGTATATCCTTTTTGAAAACATTTTCATTTCTGCATTATGTGTGAGTCAGTGAATCACAGTTTGATTTGTGTGAATGTTCTTTCAGAAAGAATAATGTTTTTTAGGAATAACAGAACCTGTGTTTTCTAAATCCATTCCATAACTGTTGATAAATGTAGATCTTAAGAAGTATTTTGTTGTCAAATTTCATTGCCCATTTCATTTAGTACTATCCTATATAATAAAAGGCTAATTTGCAAATTTTCCCCTCGGGCAGGACCAACCAAGAGTTCAACCAGAGGGCGGGGCTGGCCAGCCAACCGCTGGGCTGGCCAGACCCCACTAATGCACGAATTCATGCACTGGGCCTCTAGTTCTGTAATAAAATTGTTTATAGCAAGTACTGTTACTGGAAAGGAGACCTGGCCCTTGGTGGGTCTGCCTAGGGTCCGCTTGTAGTGTGTGGGTTCTTGATTTCGTGCAGGAAAAATTTCACAACACAAATCCAGATGACAATGAGGGAACATTTATTGAAGCTGGGGACATAAAACAAGAAAGGACTTAGCATAGAAGCAACAGGAGAGCCCAGGCTGGGCTGCCTTAGCTCTCTGGGAAGTCAGAGAAAAGGAGGCCTTGGACACACATTTAGGGGATTAGCCTGGGACAAGCTGCTGCTGCCCATTGCCCCCCTGGTTGCAAGCCTCATGGGGTCCCTTGGAGTTTAGGAGTGGCATGTCTATGAGGGGAGAAGCGGGGGAAGAAGAGAAGAAAGGGAATGGTGGGGCTGCTCCACAGAGGGAGAGCGAATGCTGGGCCCTTTGTCTTGAGGCTTTATCTCTTTCTTGAAGGTGGGACTCTTAGGGGAGGTCTCAGGGGACGGTTTCATCAGAATATTAATAAGTTTTCTAGCTGTGCTTCTCCAGGCCTTGGTCTCTACTGACTGGTCAGTATCAGGGCAGGGGATTGTCAGTCATTGCAGCTGGTGCTGGTGCTGCCCACCTGGTTTTGCTGCTTTTCTGGGTCTGGAGCTGAAATACAACTAAGGCCTAGATGTTATTTCTAAGGAGGTGACCTTCTATATCTGCTGTAAATTGCTCTGTCCGTTTTTTCAGCTATCTGTCCCAGTTTCCCTATTCCACCTGTCCTGGCTTACTAGCCTGTCTCAGTACAACACATCAGCTGTGTCAAGAGTGAAATAAGTATTGGTTGAATGTTCTTTGTTACCTAAACTTTTTTTAAAGGGTGTTGTTTATATTAGAAAACATATTCCAAGTTCTAGACAACCGATCCACTTACAATTTTCCGATAATAACTCCATTATTAATGAGAGGAGGCTGCCCAGTTAAAAATTCGGGAATCAAATGATATTCTGCTTTGTTCCTTTAAATCATCATGATCTCATCTTAGTGGCAATCATAACAATTATCAATAAATTAATGACAACATCTGTGCTTAAGGATGGAAGTAAAGAAGCAGTTAGACACATGGTTAGGTTCTGCATGAAGAAATGCACAGCAGCAATGAACATTGTTACCAAAATTATATGGGCAGGGCAAGCATTGGGAGCTTTAGGACTAAAGTGCATTTGTGGGTTCTAGGACTGTTTTAGTTTATGCAACATCCATTTACAATTAGCAAAATCAAGTATCTCAGAGTTGTTATCCTGTGTTGAAACAATATATACATTTAGTAAATGATATAGGTTAAATATTCTCTATAGATAAAATTCTTAAAGATTTTCAAAATTTAAGAAAGCTTTCCTAGCAATTACTTGGTTAAGTAAGAGTCTAATGAAGCTCAGAAATGTTTACTTTGATCTCTTGGGTAAATGGCTAATTAAACAGCACAAGTAAATGATGTTTACCTGTGGGTCCCCTTGCTGTCAGCGGGAGTCAATCCATCTCTTGAATAAATACATCATTAAGCACTGAAACTGGGATTATGTCCGCTCAAGACTCGATAAGGTCCACAGCACCCGCATAATCTATTAGGCAATTACATTATTGAGCTGCATACTTTAAATCAGAAAAATTTGTAATTACTTTATATGAAAAAAAATGAGTTGGGTGCTTCATTAAAATACAAAGAGCCTTAATACTCCTTTTATTTTATTTTATTTTTTTTTAAATATATTTTATTGATTTTTTACAGAGAGGAAGGGAGAGAGATAGAAAGTTAGAAACATCGATGAGAGAGAGACATCGATCAGCTGCCTCCTGCACATCCCCTACTGGGGATATGCCCGCAACCCAGGTACATGCCCTTCACCGGAATCGAACCTGGGACCTTTCAGTCCGCAGGCCGACACTCTATCCACTGAGCCAAACCGGTTTCGGCTCCTTTTATTTTAAATGATGTTTGTTTCCACTTGGGAAAACTCCAAACAAAGCAGAGTGATCTGCTGGTGTCACCGGTAGAATAGGTTGGTCCTTTTGCCCCCACACACACATCAATCAGACATGTGACTGGTCACAGGAATCCCCTCACCTCTCCCTAAATGATGGGCTGGTTTCTTGTTCTCTCTTGAATATTCATCTGAATACTTTCCCTTGCTTTTAATTGCTTATAATTTCAGTATTATGTCATATTACCATAGTATTTAATGTTGTGGACAAAAAAGGGACTAGCTCAGGGAATGCCTGCATGGTGACCTTGCAAACTCACAGACCTAAAATAACCACAAGGATGGTCTGAAATTAAAACTTTTAAAACTAAAAGCAGTTTATGGTGGGTAGTCATGTCCTAGGCCGGTATCTTCCTTGACAAAGGTCAATCTTTACCTTAAGTGAGCCTGTCTCTTATCTTTTTGCATCTACGATAAATATCATTAGAATGTCAAAGGAATTTTCCTTTTTCCAGAACCCTCAAAGCACAGGCACCGCTCTGCAGAGACCACAAATCCCCTCATTGTCATTGAGTTAATTGTTGACTATTAACTATCCTGCGCCCACCTCAGTGAAAGAAGTGTGTGTCTGTCATTTTACTTTT